CTCAGCTTCCAGCTCTACAGATTGCTCCGCGTACTAAAGTTGCACTAGAAAGTCTAGCTCTACAGGTTGCTCCGCGTACTAAAGTTGCCAGTTCTCAGCTTCCAGCTCTACAGATGGCTCCGCGTACTAAAGTTGTACTAGAAAGTCGCCAGTTCTCAGCTTCCAGCTCTACAGATTGCTCCGCGTACTAAAGTTGTACTAGAAACTCGCCAGTTCTCAGCAGCGCCTGCCACGAAACCTCCACATGGAGGTTCACAAAGCGCTGCACCTGCCACGAAATCTGCACATGGAGGTTCACAAATTGCTGCGCCTGCAACGAAATCTGCACCTCGAAGTCACGAAATCTGCACCTTGAGGTTCACAAAGTGTTTCGCCTGCCACGAAATCTGCACATGGACGTTCAAAAGGTGCTGCGCCTGCCACGAAATCTGGACATGGAGGTTCACAAAGCGCTATGCCTGCCACGAAATCTGCACTTCAAGAAACAAGCGAAAACTCTAATCCCAATGGAGGGACGATTCCAACCATGCCCGACCATGATCCGAGCATGATCCGAGAATGACCCGAGACCGTCTCGCGCCCGTCGTTCCGCAGAGCTAGACTTGCCAGGTTTGAAGCCACCGGTTCTATTGAAAAATACAGCATTGCGTGCGTCCGCTGTCTCTCCAAAACGCATTTTGTATTGCGCCTGCTACGAAATCTGCACCTGGAGGTTCACAAAGTGCTGTGCCTGCCACGAAATCTGCGCGTGGAGGTTCACAAAGTGCTGCGCCTGCCACGAATTCTGCACACGGAGGTTCACCAAGTGCTGCGCCTGCCACGAAATCTGCACATGGAGGTTCACAAAGTGCTGCGCCTGCCACGAAATCTGCACCTGGACGTTCACAAAGTGCTGCACCTGCCACGAAATCTGCACATGGAGCTCCACACAGCACTGCGCCTGCCACGAAATCTGCACCTGGAGGTTCACAATGCGCTGCGCCTGCCACGAAATCTGCACCTCGAGGTTCACAAAGTGTTGCGCCTGCTACGAAATCTGCACATGGACGTTCACAAAGTGCTGCACCTGCCACGAAATCTGGACATGGAGGTTCGCAAAGTGCTGCACCTGCCACGAAATCTGCACATGGAGCTCCACAAAGTGCTGCTCTTGCCACGAAATCTGCACCTGGAGGTTCACAAAGTGCTGCACCTGCCACGAAATCTTGCCATGGAGGTTCACAAAGTGCTGCGCCTGCCACGAAATCTGCACATGGAGATTCACAAAGTGCTGCGCCTGCCACGAAATCTGCGCATGGACGTTCACAAAGTGCTGCGCCTGCCACGAAATCTGCGCCTCGAGGTTCACAAAGTGTTGCGCCTGCCACGAAATCTGCGTGTGGACGTTCACAAAGTGCTGCGCCTGCCACGAAATCTGGACATGGAGGTTCACAAAGTGCTGTGCCTGCCACGAAATCTGCACTTCGAGAAACAAGTGAAAACTCTAATCCCAATGGAGGGACGATTCCGACCATGAGCATGACCCGAGACCGTCTCGCACCCGTCGTTCCGCAGAGCTAGACTTGCCAGGATTGAAGCCACCGGCTCTATTGAAAAATACAGCGTTTCGCGCGTCCGCTATCTGCACATGGAGGTTCACAAAGTGCTGCGCCTGCTACGAAATCTGCACATGGAGGTTCACAAAGTGCTGCACCTGCCACGAAATCTGCACCTGGAGGTTCACAAAGTGCTGCACCTGCCACGAAATCTTGCCATGGAGGTTCACAAAGTGCTGCGCCTGCCACGAAATCTGCACATGGAGATTCACAAAGTGCTGCGCCTGCCACGAAATCTGAGTCATCTCACTAGTGGTGTATGATGAGTGGTGTATGATGAGTGGTGTGCGACGAGTGGTGTATGATGAGTGGTGTATGATGAGTGGTGTATGATGAGCGGTGCATGATGAGTGGTGTATGATAAGTGGTGTATGATGAGTGGTGTTTGATGAGTGGTGTATGATGAGGTGTGTATGATGAGTGGTGTATGATGAGTGGTGTATTATGAGTGGTGTATGATGAGTGGTGTATGATGAGCGGTGGATGATGAGTGGTGTATGATGAGTGGTGTATGATGAGCGGTGTATGATGAGTGGTGTATGATAAGTGGTGTATGATGAGCGGTGGATGATGAGTTGTGTATGATGAGTGGTGTATGATGAGTGGTGGATGATGAGTGGTGTATGATGAGTGGTGTATGATGAGTGGTGTATGAT